CCCTCCGACTCTGCCCATATTGAACACGCATGACTTTGCCGCTCTGGGTTTAAACCTATTTTGCCTCCTCTGTTCTGCTCCTTTTTTAAAGCCGATCGTTCGCTTCTCGCTTTCGAGTTTCTGCTTCCTATACTTTAAAAAATAGAATAGCAAAGATGAGAAAAGAATGGGAGGGAAAAGCGAACGGAAGTTTCATCTATCGACTACTGGGCTACCGCCGCATTTTTAGAAAGCGACTTTTCCAATTTTTTTTTTTTATGTTACCCACACCTGAACGATGTTACGAACGAAGGCTATTGTTCGCGGAAAATGGAGCAGGTTTTTCAACGATCTGTTCTTCTCAGCTCTGTCGCGGTATGCGAATTATTTTTCGAATGAATTGTGTTTTAGAAGGACGAATCTGTATTCGATACTTCTCTTTGCTATTTTCGTAGGATACGTATTTTTAGTTAGTATACTTCGTTGTTGGTTTATTATTTCATCGTCGGTGCTTGTATTATCGTATTATTAAAAATTGTTGTTAGGAAAATATCCTTCAAACATACGGATGTATAATACGTAATTTAGGAGTATCGTTAATTAGAAATTGCCAGATTCGCGATCGCAGCGTAAAATAAGCATCGTTAAAACAGCTTTACACGAATAAAGTATAAATAATACTAGAAAAATCCTCAAAAGAAATTATAATTTATTAGTAATTATATGAGCGACCTACAATACTTGGATGATCAGTATATAAAAACTGAAATGGAAGAAAACACTCGCTGCTCCTTTCTACAATCCCATTCTACCTTTATCTACAATCAACCAGTCAGTCGAAAAATTCATGCTTCATAACCGACCCCGGATCAAGGAGCAGTCAGCCGCTGGCCAGCAGGAAGATCGAGCACCCAGCGTCAGGAATGCGATCTAGCGAGATTAACACGAAGATCCACTTTTCCCTTGGAGTGCTTCTCGATCCTGAATCTTAATCAACTGATCCCAAGTCCGTCACTTGGTCTAGGATAAAAAGGAGAATGGGAACACACCCAACCTCTATCATGATTAAACAGACATAGCTTCTGTGTGAATGGTACGCCATGTTAACCTGCTCGATGGTCAAGAAATTTGTTCACTATGAAAAAAAGAAAGGGACATTTCTTCTATTTATGTGATCTTCGATGATATAGAAGTGAAAGGGGAAGAAAGATAAGGAAAGAAGACCAGAAGAGAAAAACAAAAGAAGATGTAAGGTTAAGAAAGGAATATGGCGGAGAATGGGCCCATCTATCACGTTGTGAAGTGGTCAGATGAGAACTCGAAAGTTCTACGAGTCTCGAGGCCTTCCACTCTGCCCTCGGACACGAAAACCTATAGTCTCTGATGATAAGGCCGGGATCAGCCAGCTTACAAAAGGACGTATTATGTTGCGAGATTCTCACGGGCATCCGGACGCTTGATAATCCTTCATCCGGCGTGGATAAGTCGATGCCCCTGTAGGAAACCAGAGAAGGTTAACACACGGATGGGGGTGTTGCTTGGCGGAACAGAATAGGACGTTTCTATAATATTAGGTTGTCCTAAAAGTCCCTTTCGTTTTATAAGGAAATAATAGATGCGCAATATTTTTTGTTTTATATTATTTTATTGAATTATGTGGATCATACGGTTTTTATAATTTCCGAACAATATAGTGCGATTGTAAATGGAAGTTTTAACGATCAAAGTTTATACGACAATTTTTAAACTTCAATTCTTCCGATCGAAAATTAGTACACAATTAGCTATATAATTAAAGGAAACGAAGCTACACAGAACACACGCTTATATGAATTTTTTCGAAAAAGAAGTATTAGTAATTAAGGAATGTATTCGAATAAAACGTGTTTTCAATCTTCTGTCATTAATTTTACAACAATTAAAATAGATCCACGTATTATGAAGCTTCCAGATATGGGACGTAAAAAAGAGTTAGAAAGAACAGTATTTAAGTAATTATTCCAATATGAGAATCAACGTAAGTAAAGCGTGGAATACTTTTATAATAACAGTAAAAATATTTTTTTCAAAGAAAGATATTTAACCAGAGTAAGTATATTACAGCGACGCGGTAATGATACGCAGATTAATCGACCTACGTTTAAGCTTATTAAGCTTAAGCTTTTTGAATTTAAAAACACGGATTGGCTTTTCTCTTGAAAGTAATTAGTAATACGAAACTAAGGTATTGTATGAAATATTCTCTTCACTGAAACTTAATTAGTTACGATCTCATCTCATTGAAACCATTTACTTTAAAATCTTTATTAACATTCACGTTGAAAGCTACATTATTTAACACGCGCAATTTTATCCAACATGAAATCACGCTAAGTAATTAATTTTATCTTACCGCGAATCTAACAAAATTATAAAATTATAAATATAATAGTAAGCTTACTCAGAATGTATTTATAATATATGTTAAAACAACAACTAGCGTAGATTTTTGCATCGTTATCGTACGTGTACGTAATACGTACAAACTACATTATTAAATTTACATTATACACATTTCCTTTGCATCTTATTTGCAAATATGTAAATTCTGTTTTCTCTTGTAAACGATGTACCACGTATACATAACGAGTTACGTTATCGACTTTCGAATCTTCAAATCGATTTCAAATTTTATCAATACATACGTATATAATCGTGACAACGATGCCTCATTAAAATGCTAATGAACATTGGAGAAGCTTTATGCAAATATACGTAACATGAGAAAGCGAACTGGCTAACTTTACTTTTTTACCAAATCCTGAATTGCATTACTTAGATACATAATTAATATTAAACATCTTTCGAAACAAATTACTTATTCTCCTCAAATTATTTATCAACAGGATACACCATAAATAATCGCAAATTCCGAGATAGATATTAAAAAATAATGTTCGTAACTTGTATGGAAAAAACTCCACCTTATGGAAAATAAAAAAACGTAAAAACTACCCAACAATACAATTTTGCGATCAGTAAAAAATGATAGATTTATTCACAGCAATTATTCCAGGCTCATTCTATCCTACGTACATTTTTCTAACGTACCGAGAAAATTG